GATCAAACGTCTTTTCACCGCAGGCACAACTGTAGTCTCCCTCGAATAAACAACATTTAACAAGGTACAAACACTAATAAAGCGGACGCCCCTTTGTGAAGCCCGTCTGCTCTTTGGAGATAATTGTTGGGAGAACCCTGATCAGGTGTGTGGGCCTGTTATAGGGATAGATGTAAGGATCCTTGTCCTTCTTTAAGAGAACACTGATGTCAACTTGAACTTAATTTTGACCAACATCATTACTTTTTATGCTTTATCAAAAAATTACCTTACTTTACACACAATAATAAACTAAATAAGCTGAACTTTAATAATAATAATTAATTATAATAACAATAATAAAGCTTAATCTATTCATTATGCCTTATGTAAATAACCCAGTAACATGAAAATAACTAAAGTAAAGATTACAGATAGATATTTAGGTAGCTAGGAAGATATTTCAAAATATGGATATGACGTCTGGCTCAATCTATCTTATGTATTTTATACATTTATTTTTGTCTCTCTTATCAGGAAGAAAGCTGCTGATAAGCCTGTGGAAAAAGTGAAAGAACCTTGCGATGTAAATGTTCCTTTTCTCATGATCATATTATTTGTTGAGTGAACAGGGGACTATCTTGCTTGACACTACATGTGGTTTATTTGTGTGCCACAACAGGAAGAATGTGCTCCTGCAAATGCAAAGTTCTCTGGATCAGGGGGTGAGTAAATTCTTCCATTGTCTTTTTAACAACAAAAGACTTACTTCTTCCCACTTAATACACCTTCCCTCTTCCAACTTTATGGAAACATAAATTTATGTTTTTATGAATAAAATTTCACATAGCTAAATAACAATAACATCACATTGTAAAAATAAATATTTTAGCAGAAATCAACGAGCTGAAATATAAATCTGCTTCAACACCAAGGTAAGAGAAGACTTCAGTACATAGGTTACTGAGGGCTCGTGTTATATAATGTGCCTTAAAACACTTGAATTTCTCTGTAAATGTTCAGCAAGCCTTTGTTAAACAAATACTGTTTTGTAACAGGCCAAAAACTGCCACCCAGAAAGACATCAGCTCCAGCACATCTGCCCAGAGTCCTGGGTCCAGGTACAGCCATTTTTTTCTCATTTTGTATGTGTACTTATGTGGTGCCTACAGTCTTAAGCAACACTGTAGCAAAAAAAAAAAAAACATTTTTGAGCTATATGTATATTTAGCAGCTACATTTCATAAAATATTTGGGTGACACAAATCTTTTCTACTTTTACAGCTCAAAATGTTAGCTTTCTGAAGCAAGTTTAAATGTTAGTAAAAATGTTGTAATATATATAGAGTTGAAATAATATTGAAATAATGAACATATATTTTTTAAAGTATTTTTTCCCTCATCTGTTCCTCTAAAATGGATTTAAGCACATTGAATGCTTAAATCCATTTTAGAGGATTTAAGCATTCTCTAAAATGGTTAAATTCTGGAAGCTCTAAAATGCTTCTTGAGAATTCCACACAGAGAATTCCAACAGAATTCTCTGTGTGAGAATTACAGTTCATACACAATTATATGGAATCCTATTTGATAGATTCAGTAAATCAAATTCAATCCAATAATAGCTGAAACAGGGCTGCACAGTGGCACAGTTGGTAGAGCTGTTGCTTTGCAGCAAAAAGGTTCTGGGTTCAATTCCCAGCCCAGGGTCTTTCTGCATGGAGGTTGCATGTTCTCCATGTGCATGCGCAAGTTCTCTCTCCGGGTGCTCCGGCTTCCTCCCACAGTCCAAAAATATGACTGTCAGTTTAATTGGCCTCTCTAAATTCTCCTTAAGTGTGAATGTGTGCCAGAACGTTAACTAGGGACAAGGGTGTATATAAAATGGATGGATGAATATTTGAAACAAGATCCAATTAAATACACATTTCAATTTAGTCAGAATTGAAATGTGTGGTCAAACATGGTCAAATTGAGTAAATCATTGGTAAAAGGTTACAGACTTGCTCATTGCATTCAGTAATTGACTTTGCTGAATCCCGCGTCCTGGGAATCACATGTGGAAGAAAACCACTCCTCATTAACGGGAAACAAACTTCAACAGAACCAAGCATAACATGAAGGATTATATAATTTGACCAGCTTGGGTTTGAGCTGTAGACAAAAGAGAATCCCTAGTTCAGAAGTACTTTTTATTGGAAATATGAGCAGATAGCATTAACTGAACTGGACAAGCCTATATTCTATGGAAAGAACAGTGACCATGCAACCTTCATGACTTTCATTGGCTGACTTTTAAATGGCAAGAAGCAATAGTTGGAATATGTGTGTTATGTTTGTGTGTGCACTTGTGTGGGTGTGTGCGTGCGCACGCGTGTGTGTGTGTTTGTGTCTGATGAGTTCATTTTCTGTTTTAGCCTTTTATCATTGGCGTTTCATATTATTATATGAATATTTGTATTCTTAATTAAATAATGTTCAAAAAGAGAAAAAGGAGACATGTCCCATTCAAGAATTACAGAAACAAAGTTGAAACACATGGTTTACAGTTATTAAAACACAAGCAGTGCTATTGACACTAGACATCATAGACATCATTCAACTGACACAGGACGAAAAATGGGATTTTCGGCAGTTGTTGACACCTTGTTCTGCCGTGTGCATGGAGATTGAGGGCTTATGACAATTGCTCATGAGAATATGCAACTACACATATAAAATGTACATATTTATCAAAATTGCATAAGTTCATGTATACCCTATAAACATCTACTTTCTAGGTTCATGTGAGTAATTTTTGGAACAGTTTGAAACAAGCTCTGCTACGTCTATTTTGGGGCATTTGCTTTAAAAATACAGCTCTAACTGAAAGTAAATGTGTTCTTTTGTCTCAGGCTGAAAGTGGTGAAGAAAAAGTCAGATAGTGAAGAAGGAGACGGTGATATGGAGCGTGTCAAACAGGTTAGATCCTCAATTTGTATTATAATGTGCAGCAATTACAGCAAGACAGTAATGTTTGCTTTTCTTTTTTGCAATAATTTAGAAATCAAGTTAATTTGTTTCGAAACACAGAATAATGCTTTTGCGAAAACTGCACAGATCTTACTGTGCCATTTTATGTCTTAAGGAGATTATAGAAGAGGTGAAAAAAGAGCTTAACAAGATGAAGGATGAGATTATCAAAGGTAAGGTTTTAAACTATTTTGGTTGAGAAGTTGCCTTCAAAATGTCTTCAAGAATCATGAAAAATCCAGATACTATTTAAGGTCAGGTCCAACACTAGGTTGTAATTGTGTGCTGTGCATGTACTACAAAATACTAGAAATGTTATGACTGACATTGATTTTTGTCTCTTCAAGCTTTGCTCGAGGAACTCCAAAGATAAATGATGTACGTTACATACACCAGAAAGGCCTAACAATATGATGAAGAGATGTGATCCTCATGCAAATTGCTGGCAAAATACTTACTGTAATTTTGACTGAATTAAATGTTTAAACATCACTTATCTTTTTCGATGCTATTTAGATTTTAATTCTGATATTGATGCTAATATAAACTATTATAAATAATAAATTGCATTTTTTGCAGTCATTTCAAACTTCTTATTGCACAATCTAATGTTTAAATGGATTTTTAAAAATGTCATCTTAAGTGTTATGCTGCAGAAAAGTAAAAGGGGCCGTTTAGGACAAAATCTATGTTTTGTCTCTCACTAAAGACTACAGACTCATGCGAGCACACACAAAATATGAAATTTAATGTCACACGCATAAAATTTTCCTCTCACATGCATACACAAAATACTAAAATTGCACACATACACTACTAAAATATCACACACAGGGGCGCTGCCAGAAATCTTAGGCCCCCTGACAAAAAATTTGATTGGGCCCCCCGCGCAGCTGATGTTACAATTTCTTGAGTATTTGACCCATAAAAAGCGTCACAATTTTAACGGCTTGCATCTGCCTTGCTTTCTTTGGTTCAATTCTGATAATTAG